AGCTAAGTTGTGCTTTCACTCCATAATTGTAGACTTAAATAGGGATTGAACAGTTCTGTTTAAACTGGATGAGGGTCTAGCATGAGCTAAGAGTTGATCCTGGTTTTGTTTTAATGTGAGATTTGAGGAAAGTTTCACTTCTGATGTTCATGTCAGATATTCCATCTTTGGGTTATCAAAGCTGTGCATTATATAACCTATCAGGGTTTATTCCACACAGGTTTTGGTATTCAGCTTTTTGAAAGCGGGTTGTTCAGTTACAAAAATATTTGGATCATTTCCCCCCCAAAAATTTTTAAAGTCCTATCACCCTCACTACATAATTGTGATTTATTTTTTCCCACTTGGATTTACTTCAAGGTCTGTTAATCAGGTAGGAAATCTAGGGGTTGGCCCTACTGTACTAAAGGCTCTCATTGATTTGCAGTGAATCATTGATTGACATACCATTACAACATGAACTTTATGTTATTTTTTTCCATGATTCAATTTTCTTACAAAACATTATTGTCATATTACTTTGGTGTGGGTTACATGTTTACTCATGAATGAAAATCAGGGATATATGGTATTTTCCCATTTTCACTTGGGTAGTTGGTGTCTGCCCCTTGTGCAGCTAGGGCAGGGGAGGCAGGTGGTTTAAATTATCAGTTCTACTTGTGTGACAGTTTGCAGATGTTACCATATAATCTGTTATCCCTAGTGGTTGGTTGGCTCTGACTCTAGATACAGTACAGTATGCCTTTTGTAGAACAGATAAAGTTATTGTCACTCCTTGTTTTCTGTCACATGTAGTAGAATTTATATTTACATTGTCTAGTTATTGACATAATTTAGACTAAAGGGTCGTCTTTGATCAACTCAGTTATTGATGTGGTTTATGTGGTTTTTTGAGATGACTTATAACTTTGGTTCTCTGAGATTGTGGTAACCATAGACTTCTTAGGTTGATATTACCTATGGTTACCCCCCTTTTTCGAGGGTGGCTGAACATAAGGCCACCTTGGCCTTAAATTCTTTAAGGTGTAACTTGTCACCAAGACAACAACCACACTTTGGGTTTATGAACTCCATGACCCAGTGTCAAAGAGGAATCCCCAAAAAATAGACAATTCTCCATCTATTCTGGAACCATTAACCTAGAACCCAATCCATCAACTGATTAACATCAGGTTTTCAATTTATTGCTGGCTAGACAGAGTTTAATAGCATAAAGAAACTTTCCCATATTTTACCTTGTCCAGGATTAAATCTGTGTCCACTTACTTGAGAGGTAAGTATGCTGACCACTACAACTCAGGTTACCAGATAGTAAACTATATTACACACAGGCCTCCTTGTCATAACCTGGCTAAAAAACAAAAAGGATTTTCAAATCATTCCTTGATTTCTGTATCAAATTAAATAAAGAACCATTCAATTTAAATACCAAACTAACACCAGAAATGTGCACTTCCTATACCATACTAATTCCAGAAATATAGTATTCAATTCATAACCCAACCTAATTTTTTTCTTCATCAGTATAAGTATTTGATTGATTATACAGTACTTACAGTATAATATAATGATGGACTTTGTTTAAAATGGTTAGAAATAATCTCTTATGCTTGAAGTATTCATGCTGAATTGTACAATTTTAATTTCTTCATTGAATAAGCTCTTTCCTGTATTTATAGCAAAGTAGTACAGGAAAAATATATCTGAATCACTTCTTTTAATAAATATGTACAGTATGTCTCATGAACACACAGCAATGCTCAGAATACTTTTATTGCTTCTAAAAATAAGGACTGAAGTAATGCATAAATCTCAATGAGTGTATTTCTTCTTAGCTTAGTGAACTTGTAACAAAACTTGTTAAGTTCAATTGGTTTCACTCAGTTTAGACTGGCAGTCTCATATCAAGTGGATTTGGTGAGGTAAAGCCACTTGTGACAGAAAAATAATTTTTTTGCCTTCATGAGTAAGATGGTCACTGAATAAGCCACTACGTATAGTATTTCCACACTAACCTGGCCTGTAAGCCACACCCCTCGTTTATAACTACAAATAGCTGATTGGTTCATAGAAAACGTTTGTGTAGCTGCCCATTTATTAAAACTAAATATGTTCACATTTGGTAAGCAGACCTATTATTATCTAAAATAATGTTAAATAACTGAACTATCAAAATGCAAATGATTTCAAGGCATTAGCACTTCAGAGAGGATGTTGGAAAATTTTAAATATTTATCATAAAAGATTGGAGTCAAGATGAAATTTGCTTTTGAATGAAGTTTTTCATATTTCTTTGTTTTTTATCAAACATAAAGCAAACAGATGCAAATGATACCAAACATATATCACAATAGGTTATGAACTACAGTTTATATGACTGGATATATCCCAAATAATTTATATAACTGATAAAACTCGATAAAAATACGGGCCAGGTTAGCTTGAAAAGGGTATGGTGTAGGTAATAATTCAGAAGCTGTATAGTCATCACCTTCATGGGTGATAGATATATACTTGTCAGGAATGTAGCCCTTCATATCATTTCAGTCATTTATTACACACAAAGTGTGTGCAAGATCTTTTCTTGAATAGCAAAATTTCAAAGTAAAGTTTTGACCAAGCTTGTTTGCCTCATAATTTTGGTAATTCAGAAACATTAATAGCGCGGTAAATAGCTAAATGCAGACACTGTTAGATAGGGTGGAATGAAAGGCTCTCCTCCTTTAGTTGATAATCTTTCTTCCCTTTTCTTCGCCACAATGTTGCTTCACTCTCACTCTTTTACAGGTACTTTAACGGGCAATGTTCGGTGTATTTGGTATCCTGTGTACCGCCGGCAAGGCCGTGGGCTCGTAACACTCGTCTTGCCCGCGGTGCCCACCGTTTCTGTGTGGATGTCCGTCACACAAGAATAACCCGTTATAGTACATTCTTCTTTACTCACACAGCCAAACTGTGGAATGCTCTGCCTTCTTCTGTGTTTCCACACACGTACAATCTGTCTCACTTCAAAAAGCTGGTTTTCCGGCATCTTCGTGATGTAGATTAATATAATCTTTTTCTTTTCTATTTTTAATTTCTCTTTAATCTTATTTTTTTGGTTCCCCAGGCTACATTGTGGGTCGATGACCTGTGCCTGGATTGGCTATTCCCCATAAAAAGAAAAAAAAAGTTTATTGACCTTTAAGAAATATAAGTGCAAACAATGAAGGTTGCCACAACCACACACTTACACCTAAAGACAAAAGTAGCATTATGGAGTAAAAAATTATGAAATTTAAACAATGGGAACCAACATTTATATAAGAACTGAGTGAAAGTTTAAGAATGTATGAGAAGGTAGTAGGTAATGATAAAGGTTAATTACAGCAAAAGCATCTGAAACATGAAGAGAAGAACAGAGGGAAGAAAGTTTTCCAGACATTTTAATTATTGTTCTCTCGGTTGTAGCTCATTGAGTAATCAAGACCAGCTGCATTAATACTGTACAGTATATCCCTTTAATTTTTTATACTCGTCAAAGTAAAGATAAAATAATTGTTTACCAAGTAATTACCAGTGCTGCACTGCACTGCACTGTACGTACTGTACCGTACGTGTGTTTCATCTCTGGTCACAAAATTCTGTACGAGAGCTTGCCAACATTGAAGGATGTTTCAAGAAGGACAGAACTGTACAATCGCAATATATAGAAGTGAGAGTAAAGCTGCCTTGTTATAGATTCAGGAAATTTCTCATTTGATTTTGGGTAAATATTGTTCATAACAATTCATTCCTACTTCTGAGGCAATTTTTGCTGACTATGGGTAAACACTTTGGTATATTTATGGAGTTACCATATGTAATCATTATTGATTTGTAATATAATATCTTGTATCAATATAAATACAAAAAGTCCTTAAAAAATAAAAATAAATCTTAACTTGTATTGTCCTTTTTTTGTTATATTTTCTTAGATATTTAGATTTGTTAGCACAGTACTGTAGTTGTTTTTGTTTGGCATGAGAGAGTATGTTGTGCCTTAGATATAAGATTGGTACTGTGTCCTGTTACTTATTGATCCAGCATGCTTTTAGTCTGCTGACTTGGACTCAATGCTTATTTTAATTGTTTTATTTTTGTACTTGTTATATGCATGCAACAAGAACCATGTAATGTTGACTATGTTTGTTATGTGTACATATTTATAAGTATCCTTATTTGTTATACTTTTGTATGTATTTTCTTTACACATGTCAGTCAATGAAGTTCATTACATGTCAGTGTACAAGTAATATGAAACCATATTTGGTCTCAAGTGAACCTTGCTTAGGGCTCTGCCTTATGCTTTACTCTCTTTCAAAGTTATTGTTTTAAAATTTTCCCAGATTACTTTGAGTTCATTTTAAATTGAAGCTTACTTTGTGAATTCAAAATTTGCTAGAAGTCATAACATGAAAATAGTTATCTGTTATTTATCAGTTAAAGATTCTATTAAAGAATGACATTCCATTCAATGTAAAGAGCTAGAAAATTTGATGATGATTATTAAGCTAGCTTGCCTCTGTCAGCTGTCAGTGTGAGAACAGATAGTAATACAGGTATCCTTATATTACAAAAGTAAAGGATACAGAAACCTTAGTTGAAATATGTTGTCAGTTACAAGAAATTGGGAGAATTAAATTGTGCAGTACAGGTATTTCAGTATTTTGATGTTGATTACAGTACAGTAATATTGATAATTTGTATTGTGCGGATTTATTGTACATCCTGGTAGACATTCATTGATGAAAGAATAAAGAAGTAAGTCAAGCTTAATAATAATATATATATATATATATATATATATATATATATATATATATATATATATATATATATATATATATATATATATATATATATATATATATATATATATATATATATATATATATATATATAATGGTATGTTTAGGTCTCTTAATGTATGAGATGCCTTTAAGACTTTTGTAATTCCATCTTGACATCTTCTCCCACAGCAGCCGCTACCCTCCCACTTACCTGCCCCCCCATGTGTCCCCCCTCGTCTCTCGAAGGATCGTGGAGAACAGAGCAGCAGCAAACAGCAGCCAGCCGGGCCAACCAGGAGCATTACCCACCTCTAGTAGAAGTCTGCCTCCTCCCTCTGTTAGTCTCACTACCCCACACTACAGGTAATCTTATCAATGACACAAATATCATTATATGCTTGACTCTAACATGAAAAGGAAGTACAAGACCTAGTGCCTGGCTCACATGACTAATATAATACCAACTAAGTTTATGGATTCAAAATCCTGGTCTAATCCTTGACTAGTGGCTGGAACTAATAATTAAGTCACTCCTACCCATTACATCCAAGTTTCTAAGAAGATTTATCTAGATTCAACAGTCACCAAATGAGGTTGAGAGCACCAAGTCTAATCTTCACACAGACTAGTGTGCATAGATAGCCTTCCTCATTTAGTTAGGCGGTAGCTAAGGAAACATAATGTCAGAGAGACAGCTTTACTCTTGATGTTTTCTGGCAAAATGCCAGGAGTAAAGTTGTCTCTCTGACACTGTGTTTCCTTTGCTACCACCTAACCATTTGTCCCAATGAATCTTACTCTTCCTCATTTTGTCTCAGCCATGGGGTGTCATTTCAGAATCAAGACCTCAGCTTCAGCCACTGCTCCAGGCTGTATAGACATCTCCAGGCTTATTTTTGTCTCTTGCTACAAGATACAGTACTTGCATTCAGTCACCTTCTTAGCACTTTAAATAGTTTTTTGCTGTAGCCATGCAGTATAAAGCACAGTATTTTGTATCAGAAAGGGAATGTTGTTTGAGCTGCAGCTTTGTTGCTAGAGTGTTTACATTTCCTTAATGACCCAGTTTGAGGTTAATAAGGACAGTTGGCTGTATGCAAGATTGTCTTATGCGGGCTCTCATGAGGAATCCTAATGGTAAGGTTTGCCCAAGCCATGGGCCTAAGTCGCTTCCTAGGTGGTACAAATCGTGGTGTTTGCGTGGGACTTGCTTCAGGTGTACCAACATAGGAAAAAAGGGGAATGTTGGGATGCCATATGCAAACAGCTGATCACAATAACAAACATTTCACGGAGATAATGGAGGCCAAAGGGACAAAGATGCAACGTACAGTACCATTCTGAGCGCCAGAGACAGACACTTGTTGCCTTGATAGTCGAGAAACAAGCAATCATTCAAGATAAACGACATGAGTCCAGTAACGTGGAGAAGAAAAAGAGGGCTTGGGACGAAATTAGGGCGGCATTCAACTCCATGGATCCTGGACAGGAACCCTACTCAGTCGTGCAGCTAAAACGTGTTCGGGAGCACATTAAAAGAAAGTACAAATCTTGTATACTGGTGATGATTGAGTTCACATTTGAGTGTGAGGTAGAGTAAAGATTTCAACATCAGTATTGACTCAACCCTGACCTAGGATAATATGCTACAAGTATTGAAATATTTCATTAATTTTGAATATACTGTACTATCTGATTAATATATCACCAGTAAAAATATTGACGACTGAAGAGAAATCTTCCTGGAGTGTGTCAAACAACCCATACTGTAATGTTAGTTATGGGCAATAAAAATAAAGATGTACTAAATAAAATTATGAAATGTATCTTCTATATTAGTGGCAAATGAGTTCACACGTGTGTGTTAGATTAGAGTAGGCCTAAAGACATCAACAAAACTGAAGGGATATTTCTATAGTAAGACCTTCCTCTAAATTCACACTGGATTCATGAATATACAAAATATTCTAATAGCAAGCATTTTGCTGTTCTATGTTTGTTTGAACTAACCTAATCAAATACACATTTATCTATAGGAAATACAACTGAGAAAAACATACCTTGAGGCTTGAATGAGATTTACTGTGGTGTCATCTGCAGATGAGTTTCAAATTTGGCTGTCTGATTTTGGGTAACTAAATGTGAAGTACGTATCACATTTTTGGGGGTAGAGCAAGAATGTCTATCGATGAAATTCATCATATATGTATGATGATTACTTTTGTCAACTATACTAGAAGCATTGCAACATTGTTGTAATTACAATTATGATAATAGTCAACCCTGATTTATCCTCAGGGTGCCCACCCTGTTCTCACGATAATTCCAGTAATATCAATGAGCATTGCTCACACGTTGAGGATTCACTAGGCTTCTTGAAATTAAAACGTGGGCAGTCCCCATAGGGAGATCTTGTGCTAACTGGTCTTGCATATAACCGATTGTAGTGTGGGAACAACACAAGCCAGCACCATATAAAGGGTCTAGATTTCATGGTGTGTAGGTCAACCTACAGCCTATTGTATGATGGTCATGTTTCATTTTAAATGCTGGTATAATACTTGGCTTAAGGTAAGGGGCAGGGATGTAGGTCTTGAAACTGGTTTATTGGGCCTTTGTAATTGATACCCTTGGTTTTGGATTTTTACTTGAGATCTTTCCAGATGACAAATTTGTTTGTTGATTTTCATATGTGTTGGTTGGGCGCAGTTAGCTGGTTAAGTTTGGGTTCAGATAGAGTGATACCTCACCTCAGGTCACTTGACCATGGATGGCCAAACAGCAGCCCATGGGTCATATAATTTATAATAATTAATTTATCATATTGCCACTTATTAGCTTACTACCCCTCAACTATATGATATGTGATCCAAAGTGCCTTGTGCAAAATTGAAGAAAACGTCATTTATAGGTTTGAATATGCAAGCAAAATGCAGCTAGAATATGGGAAATATGCATTTAAATATGTTCTCATGTAATTATAACTGAATACAGACCATGTATTGGCTACACAAGTATCATGAATATTTTTTCATAAAAGATTTGGAGTCCTTGCCTACATTTGAGCATATGAAGGGCTGTATCTGTGCTCACAACACATACACAGTCTAATGTGCCTCTCACATATGTCTGCTACTGCCACCTTTCCATGGTGAATTACCAGTACAGTATCATATTGTGCTATTTTCACAAAATGTGCTTTATAAAACAAAAACCCTATAGATATGCACTTTAGTTCATAAATGCCTAAACTCTGCAGTTGCATATGCACATATCATCATCATCAATGTTTTATGGACATTTTCCATGCTTGTATGGTTTAACTGTGATTACCTGATGACAGCTGTAGGGTAAAACCAGAATGGATCCCACTCCTCACTAGCACAAACTCAGGAAATGGAGCAGTGTCTTGGGGATGGGTACAGCCTTGGTGACCCAGTTGCCATCAGGCTTGTTGAAGCAAAATTTTATGGCTGGATGCACTTCCTAACATCAACACACAGGGTGGGAATTGGTGACAAGGAAGGGTTGAAACTCCTTGAAGATATCAAAGACTACTTCAACATATGCAATTACATGATTATCTTAAGTTTACTCATTAAACTACCATTGACTGTAAACCTTCATTTAGCTATTCCTCAGGTCCTGAGTGGTTGACAGTAGCTATCCTTCAGGTCCTAAGTGGTTGACAGTAGCTATCCTTCAGGTCCTGAGTAGTTGACAGTAGCTATCCCTCAGGTCCTGAGTGGTTGACAGTAGCTATCCTTCAGGTCCTAAGTGGTTGACAGTAGCTATCCTTCAGGTCCTGAGTGGTTGACAGTAGCTATCCCTCAGGTCCTGAGTGGTTGACAGTAGCTATCCCTCAGGTCCTGAGTGGTTGACAGTTGCTATCCCTCAGGTCCTGAGTGGTTGACAGTAGCCATCCTTCAGGTCCTGAGTGGTTGACAGTAGCTATCCCTCAGGTCCTGAGTGGTTGACAGTAGCTATCCCTCAGGTCCTGAGTGGTTGACAGTAGCTATCCCTCAGGTCCTGAGTGGTTGACAGTAGCTCAGGTCCTGAGTGGTTGACAGTAGCTATCCCTCAGGTCCTGAGTGGTTGACAGTTGCTATCCCTCAGGTCCTGAGTGGTTGACAGTAGCCATCCTTCAGGTCCTGAGTGGTTGACAGTAGCTATCCCTCAGGTCCTGAGTGGTTGACAGTAGCTATCCCTCAGGTCCTGAGTGGTTGACAGTAGCTATCCCTCAGGTCCTGAGTGGTTGACAGTAGCTGTCCCTCAGGTCCTGAGTGGTTGACAGTAGCTATCCCTCAGGTCTTGAGTGGTTGACAGCAGCTATCCCTCAGGTCCCGAGTGGTTGACAGTAGCTATCCTTCAGGTCCTGTGTGGTTGATGTCGCTATCCAGGTCCTGTGTGGTTGACAGTAGCTATCCTTCAGGTCCTGTGTGGTTGATTGTATATCCCCTCAGGTCCTGAGTGGTTGATACAGTAGCTATCCCCTCAGGTCCTGAGTGGTTGACAAGCATCCCTCAGGTCCTGAGTGGTTGACAGTAGCTATCCCTCAGGTCCTGAGTAGTTGATAGTATATCCCTCAGGTCCTGAGTGGTTGACAGTAGCTATCATCCCTCAGGTCCTGAGGCTGACAGTAGCTATCCTCAGGTCCTGAGTGGCTGACAGTAACTATCCTTCAGGTCCTGTTTGGTTGACAGTAGTTATCCTCAGGTCCCGAGAGTGCTGACAGGCAGCCACCCTTCAAAACCCGTGCTGACAGTAGCCAGTCCCCTGTGTCCTGCAGTGTGTTTACAGCCCACCCTCAGGTCCTGTGTGGTTGACAGTAGCTATCCCTCAGGTCCTGGGTGGTTGACAGTAGCTATCCCTCAGGTCCTGGGTGGTTGACAGTAGCTATCCTTCAGGTCCTGTGTGGTTGACAGTAGCTATCCTTCAGGTCCTGTGTGGTTGACAGTAGCTATCCCTCAGGTCCTGAGTGGTTGACAGTAGCTATCCCTCAGGTCCTGGGTGGTTGACAGTAGCTATCCCTCAGGTCCTGAGGGATAATGCCAAACTCTTCAATGATTTGTATTGAAGGTTGTGGGTCTCTTTATTTATTTTTTTAATAAATTTATTTTGGTTTTGAATGTACAGTATATATGCTTGCATCTTGCATATTGTCTACATCCATCTTACTTAAATCATGGAAAAACATGAGTCTCCTCAGACTGTATGACAGTTACTTATGTACAGTAAACCCTTGTTATTCACGGGGTTAGGTTCCAAGGAATGGCGTAAATAGGCAAAACCGTGAATAGCAACTTGGACTACCTTAGTGTACTACTGTATACCTATGCCAAACAACTGTCCAGCCGTGGCAGCACTTATCCCCTCTTTTAACTTGTCTAGTTATTCAACTTTCCTTGTCAGGGTCGTCACTGACTTCTGCCTTTTACATTTTACTCCACTAGCATCACTAGCACTCACACTAGGCAGTCTTTTAGGGACCATTTCACACAGAAACACTAAAGTTTTGAGAGTACAGCACGAGATGCTGCATGGGGTGACTCGTTGTGCTGCAGGAAAAGGCTCGCACGCTAGCCACCATAGCCACCATCTGTTTACGTACTGTGAATCGTCGAAATCGCGAATCACAAACCCGCGAATGGCAACGGTCTACTGTATGGGTAAAGGAAGCTATTTTGTTTGTAGTTATGATTTTTACATATACTGTACAGTATTGTACAGTTATGATTAAAAAATAACTTTCAACAGGAACTTGCTCTCCCCCTCTTCCCAGATAATTATAAGGCAGCTCTATTTCACACATACTGCATAGTGAGTTTCAGTAATCAAGCTATTTCTTTACCTTTTTGTTATATATGGTTAAACCCCTGTTATTTGGCACCTATGGGGTATTGAGAGGTGCCAGATAGAGATTTTCCGGTTAGTCGAACTTCACTCTTAGGATCTCCCAATAAATCCTCCAGCGCACAATGCTAACAGGCTGACCTCGCAAATTCGTGTCTTACAAAATGGAGAATTTTTTAACACTTATTCAACTCGATATAATTAATGTGGCCAAGTAAGAAAATATAATATAAAACTAAAAAAAAAATGAGCATTTTTTTTTTTAAGTATTGACAAAGCTTGTAGCACAGTTTGCCTATTCACAAGTAATTCAGTCAGGTCTTGACACTGAGGGTGGTATCACTTCTCATTGCCATGCAAGTGAATGTTTTTTTTTTTTTTTTTTTTTTTATGGGATTGCACCCGGATACAGGTCACTGACCCATCGGGGCCTGGGGAGTGAAAATGTAATAATAATTATAATAATAATAATAATAATAATAATAATTAGTCATAATAATTCATAATAAATAAAATTTATGATAAAAAAAACAAAAATAAAATAATAAAATAATGATGATAATACAGTAACTGTAATAATAATAATGATTTTAATAAAAACTATAAATACAAAAATGAAAAAAGATCAAAAGTGAGAAGCGATATATGTATGTTGTGTTGTCAATGGTAAGAGAAACAATTGAGACCCTGCAATTGTGTGTAAATAAACAGAAAGTCAGATCAACCTTTGTTTGTAGGTTGTTTGCTATTACTATGTCACCAACTTGCCAACCCAACCACCTTGTATATTGTTACTTGTAATGAAACTATAAAAGTTGTGGAAAAATCATTATAATACTCTAATGCGGCTTAGAAATAAAGAAAATATATAATATAAAAATGTACAAAGGAAAATGAATAGCATGGGTGTGTATGTATGAGAAGTGAATGTATGTGTGTGGATGTGGTGGGTTATTGGATTTATAACTGCATGTGCCTCCCTCGCGATGTGACTTCATAGCAAACACACAATGGCAACCACGTGTCTGTGAGTCAGCTGAGCCTGGGTGAGTACCTGGCTGAACTGTATCATGTTGCACCTGATGGTGTGAGAGTGTGGAAGGAGCTATTTTTGTACATAAATATGTGCTATTGTATTTTATGATATGCAATAATATCAATTTTATTGTTTATCATAGCAATAAATATGGCAGCTCATCTCTGTTCTGTGTGGTATTCAAACGTATGATTCTTACTGAATTTGGAGGAAATTTTTATTATTAGCATTATTTAATTTTAGTGGCAGTTAGTTGAATATGCCAGTTATGCAGACTCCAAATAACTGGTTTTACTGTAATAGGATTTCAGGATTCCCTCTTCCAATTTTCATGTCTTTTTTCTTCATTTGACAAGACCTTTTGTTTTATTTATTCACTGCAGGTACACTCAGGAAGCCTACTACAACAGCCGACCCTACTACACTCCAGAACCACAGCGTAGAATACTCCCCCGAATGGGCAATCCCTGACCCCCAAGAATATGTCCCAAAGAGGCACACAAAGCCTGTGAGCCTCACCTTCTCAATAAGCCACAAGCGCACAGGATAGGAGGAGTCTCTGGACCAGGCTCTTGCTACTTTTGAGAGTGGCCACCAGCAGGCCTAGTCATAGAACAGTCATAGCACAGATCAACACCTTCCTTGTCTACTGTGCCCTACTACTTGCTGATCACCTCAAACAGACAACATTTGCACTTGCCCATCTCAGCCCAAACTAGCCTGCAATAATAATTTTGAAATTGACAAATATTTTGGCATTTTTAGGCACAGCTCCAATTTATGTTGTCACTTTTTTAACTACTCTCTTGTGCCATTTTTATTCAGTTCAAATTATTTGATGTCCTGAAGTTTCAAACTTTGGATATATCTTTTAATAAACAAAATTAAAATTTGTATATTTGAATTGAGAGTTTTAGTGTGGTGGGTGTTGAATGCCAAGTAATAGTACTGCTGGGCGGTCCTTGAATCCTCTTTCGTTATTGCTACAAGACTTCAACAATAATCATGTTTTTATTAATCAAACAAGTTTTTGTACTCAGGGGAAAACATTGGATATACTGTACTGATACTGTAGTCTTTATCACCGTCGGGTCTAAATAACTTTCAATGCAGATATACCTTGTCATGTGATCAAGACCTTCATGATTGGATGTAAGAAATAGTTCTTCAGGGACTAAGTTGCTGATCATGTTTGAGGTTGTGTGATTTTACAAGGCAATTCTTCATTCATGTTGGTATTGACTAATGTGCAAGAAGTTTGCTGTGAAATGTTTGCCATGAAACACCGACTGTCTCAGAATGAAGAGGTTAAGTAAAGAAAGTTGTTCCAGATTGTGAGTCAATACATGATAGTTGAAAGCTCTTTGTTGTTATCAGTTGCATCATCATATTGAACAACTTATTTATTATGATGGAAGTGCTGGTCACTAGGTGCTTTACTCAAATTACTTGTACTGTGTTGAATATTTCAAAGAGAGGTTTAGGTTTTAAGTTTTAAGAGGCCAGCATAATTAATTGATTATAGAACATAATTTTGGTAGTATAAGTTGATTGAATTGATTTAATGAAGCTCTCTCTCTCTCTCTCTCTCTCTCTCTCTCTCTCTCTCTCTCTCTCTCTCTCTCTCTCTCTCTCTCTCTCTCTCTCTCTCTCTCTCTCTCTCTCTCTCTCTCTCTCTCTCTCTCTCTCTCTCTCTCTCTCTCTCTCTCTCTCTCTCTCTCTCTCTCTCTCTCTCTCTCTCTCTCTCTCCTCTCTCTCTCTCTCTCTCTCTCTCTCTCTCTCTCTCTCTCTCTCTCTCTCTCTCTCTCTCTCTCTCTCTCTCTCTCTCTCTCTCTCTCTCTCTCTCTCTCTCTCTCTCTCTCTCTCTCTCTCTCTCTCTCTCTCTCTCTCTCTCTCTCTCTCTCTCTCTCTCTCTCTCTCTCTCTCTCTCTCTCTCTCTCTCTCTCCTCTCTCTCTCTCTCTCTCTCTCTCTCTCTCTCTCTCTCTCTCTCTCTCTCTCTCTCTCTCTCTCTCTCTCTCTCTCTCTCTCTCTCTCTCTCTCTCTCTCTCTCTCTCTCTCTCTCTCTCTCTCTCTCTCTCTCTCTCTCTCTCCTCTCTCTCTCTCTCTCTCTCTCTCTCTCTCTCTCTCTCTCTCTCTCTCTCTCTCTCTCTCCTCTCTCTCTCTCTCTCTCTCTCTCTCTCTCTCTCTCTCTCTCTCTCTCTCTCTCTCTCTCTCTCTCTCTCTCTCTCTCTCTCTCTCTCTCTCTCTCTCTCTCTCTCTCTCTCTCTCTCTCTCTCTCTCTCTCTCTCTCTCTCTCTCTCTCTCTCTCTCTCTCTCTCTCTCTCTCTCTCTCTCTCTCTCTCTCTCTCTCTCTCTCTCTCCTCTCTCTCTCTCTCTCTCTCTCTCTCTCTCTCTCTCTCTCTCTCTCTCTCTCTCTCTCTCTCTCTCTCTCTCTCTCTCTCTCTCTCTCTCTCTCTCTCTCTCTCTCTCTCTCTCTCTCTCTCTCTCTCTCTCTCTCTCTCTCTCTCTCTCTCTCTCTCTCTCTCTCTCTCCTCTCTCTCTCTCTCTCTCCTTATATATATTCTATATATATATATATATATATATATATATATATATATATATATATATATATATATATATATATATATATATATATATATATATATATATATATATATATATTTTGACTTTAAATAAATTAAAGGAATATAATGGTATCAGAGTCTTGGGCATGACATTTCCATTTTAGATTTTCTTTTCTTTTCTAGGATATTAAATTATTTCAGATATACAGTATTCTCTTTTGTTCTAGAACCTTTGACAAGGGAAAACAAGGATTATGTTTATATTATTTTTATTTTACAAATATTTGTATTGTTTGTCACAGTTTTGGGAGGAGGATCTGTTGTTGATGACCAGTAAATTTACCCAGCTGTCAACCTCAGGTGAGATCCCTGATATGTGTAAAACTTTCACTAAATGTTCTTAATATGCCAATAGTAAATATGCTCTGGGCAGTACTTATCTTTATACAGGTACAATTCCATTCAGAAGTTCGTGGTACACTGGCGGTGAAGGGGTGCATAGCCTGTTGTACCCTTCCTGGACGACAGGTCACTGCACCAACCTCCTACCAACACACATAGTGGAACTGGCAACGGGGCAGTTTGATTGACATACTCATCAAAGAGATGGGATATTGATATGAATATTGGACAACGTTACTGCAGATGGATAATGTAGATGTGTTAATATCTTGTTCAAGAGCAGAAATCTATAGTGATAGGGTATCCATTCAATACAGTATCAGAATACAATATGGAAATTAGTTTGAATGAACACTATGAGAAATAGTTGAACAGAGCTCATATATCAAGTCTTCAGTATTCCATCTCTCTCTCTCTCTCTCTTATATACTATATATATATATATATATATATATATATATATATATATATATATATATATATATATATATATATATATATATATATATATATATATATATATATAATAATAAAAAAAAAAACAAAAAACAACTAATAGGTGTGAGGAAAGACACTGAACCGGAGTGTGTTTACTAAGTCAGGTTACCTTCACTGTCACACTTGGTTAAACCAAAACAACATAAATTTTCTTTTCGTATGTGGTGTGAAATAGTGGTCCTCACTCATGACCCATTATCGTTTGTGATCACTGTTATAACCAACGCTAATACACCAAACAGATAATGCAAGAAACTCGAAATGAAATGGAAACATGATAGTTAGTGCTGGGGAAAATGTTGGCACAATGTAAGATGTAATGTGAATGATGAATTTAATCCGAGGACAGTGGCGCACGATCTCTATAAGACAAACACTTTATAAACAAAGTTTCAGAAAAAAATCGTTAACTAGTTTCAGAGTATCAGGTTACTCGTTGGCGGTCGAGATGGCGCTGGAACAGGCCTATTGCCTAGGTATTTTATTACAATGTATTTGTGTATCAAATGTAAAAAATGTAAGCTGTTCCAAATAGTATCTATCTGTCCGTTTCTATCGTCTATCTCATTTGTGTCTCTGGAGAGTGCTATTAGTAATTTATTGCTATTATATATACTGAATACAAATACAATGGGATATATTTTAATATAATAAACCTATTTAATATATTATAATATAATCATCATCATCCATTAATTATTTCTTATAGTGGGAAAGACAAAACAAGAAGGATAGTTTGGGTTGGTGTCCGCCATGCAACTCACAATAAGCCTTGAGCGATATTACCCCCAACAACCACCCACAATAGCGTAATAAATTATAAACATATATTTTCTTCTTCTTCATAAATGTGTATATATAAATTGTAGTCTGTATTATAAGCTACTAGTGTTTATTTAACAATAATAAAACACATTTTAGAAGGACAAATGAAATCCATTTTTCACATCATTTAATACCTCGTCTAGCCTTCCCCTTTCTCAATAACTGTAGGCAATCTATCTGGCATAGAAGACACAAGGTCCTGAATAAACTCCGGCTTACACCTGCAGATTACCCACTGGGCGTGGACATGGTGCAGGAATTGATGGCTGGTCTTCTCATTTGCTGGTTCCCAGGTGTTCACCATTTGTGCCCAAATGTGTTCAATGACATTCATACCCGCTCCTTTGCTGGGCCATTCCAAGAGCTGAAGGGGGTCTTGTTCTTGAATCCAGTGACGAACGACACGGGGAGTGTGGATCGGACACCTGTTGTGAATAAATACGACAGGCCCAGCTGAGAAAGGAAAATTCCTTGCCCGTAGAGATAGCAAGAAGCGTTCCTCCAGCAGTAGGATGTATTTGGCCGCAGTAAAGTGACCCTCAATGCTGATCATGTCACCCCGGTCATGTAATGTCACCCAGCCCCAGATATTACAGGTAACGTGACCTGAACAGGCCTCCTCACTGATGTTGGGGCGATCGTATATTGTGCGAAACATAGTATCATTTAAATGTTTTTTGTTAGGGTTATTCAAGGTTTATTATATTTATGGTTTATTAACCCTATCCTATATTATTCACATTTGATTTTCCGTATGGATTTCTTACTCCTTAAACACCAGTCTAGCCAAGAAGTCCATGTTTTGCTCAGCATGGAGTTGAGCGAAGGCTAACTTCCCTGCCCGGTGCTCTTCTGTCAGGCGCTCCTTTCTCGCGGGAGTTCTGTGATGTATTCCCCGTTCATGCAATCTTCGCCTGACAGTCTGCGCAGAGACGTCCAAATGCAGGCTGTCTCGTATGGCCACCACTTTGGTTGCCTCGGCCGCTGCGATAATTGCAGCGTCATCTGCCTGGATGGTCCTATGAGGGGCTCCTTCTCTCCCTATTGACAGAATAGAACACAACCATATTCAGAATGATTTTGACACTCTAGGTTACCTAAACTGTAAATTTACATTTCATATATAAACATGATTAGAGATTATATGCCAGCTTCCATAACTCTACTACATAATGTACATAATAGTTTCAATATGAAAAGAAGGTTACAGCATTGATTATTATTTCCATGTAGATCACCAATTTCAATAATATCAAAATTTAGCCTTACCCGTACATAACTACCCACAAATACTGACGCTGAATTTGGCTGTTTATAAAATTAGGTTAGAATTCCTCTATCTACCTATATAAATATTTATATGAAGTTCTGTGGTCGAGCTTTTCCTAATCTTTACCTAAACTTTGAATATGATGCAGGTCTCTCATTCTCTATCCTTCATTCATCAATGCTGCTATGGTCCACTCTTTAGCTGAGACAGTTATAGCTTACCTAAGTCGTTAAGGTTACCTCTCCTCCCATCTTCTTAAACACTTCATCACAGTTGTGAGGGACAGGCCAACTTCATGTGCAATACCCTGTATGGAGAGACCATTATCACGAAGAGTGATA